AAAGTCAGAATTGACTGAGTCTACTCCTATTCACAGTGGGTGATTCTCATTTTTTGGGTTTCTTTTAATATCGGATCACGTCATTCCTCTACTAAAAAACATCTAATGACTTCTCATCTCAGAACAAACCCAAAGAACTTCCCATGTCCTAAAGGCCCTACATGATCTGGCCCCTGCCCATCTCTCTAATCTCATTTTGCCTCCCTCTTTTCCTTTTACTCTATTCCAAACATATTTTATTGGCTGCTTATGTTTTCCTCTTTCCTTTCACTTGAATTTAAGATACTGTTATAAATATGCTTAAATATGTTTACCCACCCTCAAAAAAAAAAAAAAAAAATCAAGCTCAGTTTGGTATAAACTGCATAGTAGTTGCAATTTAACAGAGTGCATCTCATACTTTCATTATAATTAGCTATGAAAATGTATTCTGAATCATTTGGAGGAAGCACCAATAAACTAAGACCAACACCCAGAATAAGCAGCTTCAGTGCCTATCTGATTTTCAGGCACATGACTACCATAATTATGAGTATAAAAGGTCTTCACTTAGGGGCTTGCCTGTGGCTCACTCGGGAGAGTGCGGTGCTGATAACACCAAGGCCATGGCTTCGGAAGGATCCCATATAGGGATGGCTGGTTCGCTCACTTCAGAGAGTGTGGTGCTGACAACACCAAGTCAAGGGTTAAGATCCCCTTACCGGTCATCTTTAAAAAAAAAAATTAAAAAAAGGGTCTTCACTTAATACAACAGCACCACAGATTAAAATGAGTTACTTGAAATAGAAATACTTGAAATAGGGCTTTTACAATAATTACTAACTTCAAATTGTCTTGGAAATTTTAATTTATTAATTTCACAAATATTTAACAGTGAGCATATCCCCAAAGAGCAGAGTATATAGTAAGACACATAAATTTAACACTAATAAGTTTAAGATTTAGTTATATTAATGTGTAGGTGCAGATAAACCGAATTCCATTGGACAGGCACATAAAGAGATAGACTAAATGGTAGGGGAGGACAAAATACTTAGCAACCTTTTTTTTGGGGGGGGCGACCGGTAAGGGGATTGTAACCCCTGGCTCGGTGCTGTCTGCTCCACACTCAGCCAGTGAGCGCACCGGCCATCCCTATACAGGATCTG